TATAGGAAATTACCATAAAAAAAAAAAAAAAAAAAAAAAAAAAAAAAAAAAAACCACAAGCAGAGAAGAAAATAGGCTTCATCTTCAAAGCAGTGAATGTTACAGCCTACAACTTTCAAGAATTTTAAGCTCAGACTTTCAATCCACAAAGGCAACGCACAATTCTAATTATCACTTAAGATGTTGATATACAAGTGTTTTATGCAATACACTCAAACTTTACTAAGGTTAATGTGTGGTACATATGAAATTCAAGAATAAGTTGCTTAGGATTTCAAAGAAAAAAGCAAGAAAGAGTAATGGAATGGCATAATTAGGTTAACAACTCCAACTGCAGATGTGGAAGATGAATAACTGAGGGCATTCCAAAGTATTAGATGTGATAATCAGGTAAAAACAAAATCCTACCAATAAATACTATTAGAAGGGAAAAAAGTATTTCCAAAGAAATGGCAAAATTTGCTGCTGTTTCCCAGAATGCAAGGGACATGTTCATGTTTTCTATGCTATTACAACATTGCATCTGAAATGCAGCTTGGAGGATCATTACAGAAATACCTTTCAATTTATTGCATGGTAATAGCATATTACAGATTTTTTTAAAAATTTAATAACTTTGATATACATAACAAATATTAAAGTAAGTACAATATCTAAGAATATTAGATCTAACAGCATTAGATGAAAAAACACCACTTTTTATTATGCCCGCTTTCAGATCTATTAGATAGAAGATACCATATAAAGTTGGGGTTTTTTTTAGTTCTGATCACTAGCTCAGCCAAAAAATGCAACCTTCAAAACACTTTTAGAAAATAAACCTGAAGATCCACAATAACAACACAGTATTATAACATTATACCCACAATAAGTAATAAAAGACAAATCAAACAAGCATTCTTTACCCCTCTAACTATACCGATTTTACCAGTGCACTTAGAACCCAAGCAGATACTATTTGTATTTTCCATGTGGTTACAAAGGATACACTGTATAATTGATTACAGAGAAGAACAGGGGAAAAGATCAATTAAACCACAGTGGTGTCTTATGACACCAAGGATGCCAAATGGAGACATCTGGGCAGAAAAAAGTTTCAGTAATCCAATTAAAAAACACTGTCAGGCTGTTGCTGTAAGTATTCCTTATTTCACTTATCGTATGCCATCACAAGAGACATTAAGTTTCTCTACACACACATTTGTTAAAAAAAGAACTGCAAGCTAATTTTGTGAAGTTTCTCCAAAACCTCAGTTAATTAGGAACAGTAGAGGGAAGACATATCAAGGTTTTGACTGCTTGAGAAGATCTGCAGAAAATACAGAATTCTTGCAATCACATCCCTCCCTTTCTCTTCCTCCTATCTCCCTCTTTTTTTTTTTTTTTTTTTTAAGGACAGAGTTCAGAAAAAAACACAATTGCGTTCACAAATTTTTACATTTTGAGGTGTGACTTATAGCTGTTATTTCACTTCAAAACCAGGACAGTTACTTGAAAGTTTTAAGCATTGATTGAAAAAGCCTCCTCTCACCATACTGCAACAAAAGAGAAAATGGGAAATTACCCAAAAGAATATAAAGCTTCCACTTTAAATACATCTTTAGAATTACTTGAAGCTGAATCTACAGTTAAGACTGCATTTCCCTTCAAAAATTCAACCCTATCCACATCTTGATTTTCAATAAAGCTTTTAAAGAGGAGCTTATACTTCATGTAAGTACCAAACATTTGCCTGCATGCTGTTTCAAAAGCAAAGACATGCAGTGCTCCACAGTCCAGAGAGGAAACACAACATTTTAATGATTAAAAGATCAAAAAGTCTTTATATTCAAGCTGAATGTTAAACAAAATTTCAAGGGAGAAAGAGAGTTTTAATTATCACTACTTCATTAAAGGTATCAGAGATCCCGAGAGATAATGATCCTTTATACTACATACGCCATTGAGTGTGTTCAACACTCCTACCTTATAGAATCGCAAGGTTGGAAATGATCTGCAAGAGCATCTAGTCCAACCCTCCTTCCATTGCCATTGCTACCACAAGCCTCTAAACCATTGTCTCGTAGCTCCTCATCCAGACGCCTCTTGAACGCTTCCAGGCACAGCAACTCCACCACCTCTCTGGGCAGCCATTCCAGCGCCTGACCACTCTCTGAGAGAAAAAGTTCTTCCTTATGTCTAATCTAAATCTCCTCTGGTACAACTTGCGGCCATTTCCTCGGGTCCTGTTTGTTGCCTGGGAGAAGAAGCCAAACTTCTCTTCATCACAACCTCCCTTCAGGAAGTTGCAAAGTGCAGTGAGGTCTCCCTTGATCCTCCTCTTCTCCAGACTAAACAATCCCAGCTCCCTCAGCTGCTCCTCATAAGACTTGTCCTAGACCCCTCACCAGTTCCATTGCCCTTCTCTGGACAAGTTCCAGGGCCTCAATGTCTTTTTTGTCATGAGGGGCCCAAAACTGAACACAATACTCAAGACTATTCTTCTAATATTTACTTCTTTCCTTTTTTCTCCACTGGCTTTGCTACATGTTTGCCATGTTTTTGTGTTGTTGTTTGTTTTTTTTTTTTCTATAATTTAAATAGGCAACCAGAACATCTCTCAGCAGGAAAGAATTCTACAGGCAATGGGAAAAGCAACAGGAGATGGAAGAATAAGTTCCCATTTTGAAGCAACGGTGAGCAAATGGAAGCAAAGGCAGCAGCACACTGCTGCAAACTGGGCAGGCCCTAGCTCTGTCCAGGGTGGTTTTTGCTGCATTTATGACCACCATCAGAAATTAAACAGAGAGGATAGTTTAGAAAAAAAGATTGCAATGTTTTCTACTTATTTCCTCAGTGGCAAAAGCTGTCCAGGGTGAAAGAGCAGAAGAGAAAAGTGAAGAGCAGGATAAAGGGAAGAAACAGGAACATTTATATGTTCATATAATCATGCTACTGTTCCAGAAATGTAACTTCAATGGCGGCACTCATCTACTTATGAAATAATTAAAAACCATTCTCTGACAGTTCTTCATACTTCTGCAAATATAATCAAATTTACTGTGGAACTCAGCAACCTTCTGCGATATGCCACAACGAAGAGTTTCTGAAGTTATCAGAGTATTTTGCTGTATGTGACAGTGTATTCCAGTGCCTTAAGAACTGACATATTTTCCACCTTGAACAGTTATAACACAGTATTGCACAATCAATACAGGGAATTTGAGACACAAAGTCATGCCGGTTTCCACTAGTTTCCTCTATGGTTTTTTTTCTGCTAGCAATAAGTTCTTCAAAACACATGTAACAACTCAGTTCTCTCCTTTCTGCAGTCATTATTTCCATCTTCCACACTCAAACAGCTGATCCAGATACCAGCAACAATTCACACCTTATGCACTATTTTCTATACAGTTGACAATTGAAAAACAAAAAAAATCATTGTCTTCACTAAAGATCCTTTTAGTTCCATTAACTTCCCTCAAGAAGGTTCACTTTGCAAAAATTCACTGTACCATCAACCACTTTTCCAACTGCCATAAAAGCTATGGCAATCTGGTCAGTCTTTATATGAATAAACAGGTTCACTTCACTCTTGATTTCTATCATCTCTGCTTTCTGCCACTACTAGAGTTGTAAACAGGAACTTTCTCTATCACAAGGTTATATGCTCTTTTTTTCTTTTCTCCCCCACCAAAAATACTCTGCAGAGGTGATTTCCAAGCTGCTTCCTCTGAGAAAGTTGAAGTTTCATATTAAGTATACAGATGCTTTTCAGAGGACAACCACCATCATGAACAGTACGAGCATAGTGGCTGAGTAAGAGGTATGTTTCAATCCTGTTACACAATACAGCTCTGCAGTAAAACCGGTAAACTTTGTAGACAGCCATTTTTATTTACCATTATTTACTGTCAAGAAAGGATTTCATTTAAAAAGAAATAAAGATTATTTCAGCTATCTTGGTAGCACAGCTGCCACTCTACATGAAAGTGTCAACAAAAGTTGCTAAGCCAGTACATCACAGCTAAAGGGAATCGATAGTGATAAACATTAAACACATTTTATTAAATGAAAAAGGTAAAGATTTGAAAAAATACATTAATTATAAGACAGAGCAATACATTACTGTCTATGCTTCCCAGTTGCACAAAACTGTCCTGCAAACAAAAAAAGAAAAAGAGAAAAAGCAACAGGGGGAATGCATAGATTTCAGGTGTTCATTTTCTACACTGATGACCAAATGACTTATGTGGACAGGCACTATGTAACCTGGTAGGACCACAAAGTCAGACTATCATTTTAATGGTGAAACTGGGATTTTACAGACTACATTATTTCCTGAAAGATGTGAACCTTAATAATTTATGTACTTTAAAAAAAAAAAAAAAAAAAAGAAATCAAAGCCATCCAATATTTGTTGCTATTCTGCCTGCACAGAGCTCAGTGAGATGTCTTGGTAGCAGCACAGCCTGGCACCCAGGTGGGCAGAACCTCACCTGGAACTGGGGGCAAGCTGATGTAGTAAGCATTTGCACTAGCATTAAAACCTGGAAAATGTTAAATATTTACACATTTCTTTTCGGCTGAAGACAGACATTCTGCTGGATGTCTAAGCAAAGCCACCCTTTCCTGCACGGCTCACACTCAGATGCCCCGGGCCGGCAATCAACGTGTACATCAGCACACCACACGACCGTTTCGATCGCTTCGGCATTACTTATTAGCCGGGGGCACTCAGGTGGCATCGCAACACACGGTTTAATTTCTTCTTGCTGCGGCTCAGCCCCCCGGTGCGCCCGTGTCAGCGCAGGGACGGCCGCGCAGCCGGCCATATTCGGGGGGCGGGGGCCAGCCGCTGCCCGACGCCCTGCAGGCGGCCCCTGGGGCGCCCGGGGAGAGCAGAGCCACGGGGCAGGGGGACGGAGACCCTCGCCGGGGCACCGCCGCGGGGAGGAGGCACGGCGGGGCAGCCCTGACCCCTCAGCCGGGCGCGACGGCGAAAGAAGCAAAGGTTCTACCTCCTTCTTTTTCTGGCCTCCCCCGAGCTGGCCGCAGAGAAAGAGGAGGAGCAGCAGCAAGAGGAGGAGACAGTTCCCGGCCGACAGGTGCAGCAGCCGCCGCAGGACACCGCTACCCGACGCCATGTTCCCCCCTCCCGCTAGCCGCTGGCCTCCGCAGGAGAGCACCTGCGGCCACGCTGCCCACCTTCTTCCGTCGATTGGTTGCGGACCGCAGCCAATCGCAGCGCCCCGCGCCGCGGAGGCTCTTGGGAAATGTAGTCCTCACCAGCAGCGCCGCGTGCCGGTGAGCAGCTTTACCCGCTGGCCAAAATTCCCCGTCCCCAAAACAGCTGGCCACCATGGCAGCTGCCAGAGCGCTGAGTGCAATCATGAGTTGAGACTACATTAAAAAAATAAGAAACCGAAGACCCTAATTTTCCATGTTTATATGCATACGCATTTCACTGTTCACACAGAAAGTCATCTTTGCAGAAAATAATATTCATGTAATACACCAATAAAATTATCTTTTATTTTCTTCTCAGAGCATTAACCATGCAGCTTTTTATTTTTATTATTATTTTTTTTTCCTGTCCACTATGCAAATCACTGATTGCATTTCTTTCCATGGAACACACACCACAGTGGGCCGGCTAGGTAATATTAAATTAATGAGCACCTACCTTTTTTTTTTCCTTTTTTTCAGATTCCAGGTGTTCACCTTATGCTCTGTACCTTATTTACACACATCTGTGCTGAAGGCACAGACAGAACTATTCATTTCTTTAGAGATTTTGCTATGTCTCTCAAAAATGTTATTACTTTTCTAATCAGAATACCAGATGAAAATGGAAAGCTGAGGCACTGAGAGAGTACTCAAAAGTGTACTTGTTTTAGGCACAGAATTTTTAGATGGTATCTTAATGATAGTATTGGATGCTAGATCAGTGATACTACAGACATCTTAGCAATATGTGTTAAAAATATTAAATAAGGCTGGGGCGTTTCTTTATATTTGCAATGTGTCTTTGAGAAGTTACTCGTATACACAGTAACTATGGATCATATTCAGCTAATCTACCAGATACTTAAAATTGATCTAAGTTTCTTGAGTTCAAGAAAGTTGAAAATCACGTTATCCACATATGTCAGATCTGTCACTGGACAACAGTAACCATAAGGTGGTCAGTAATGTGGGTTCTGCTTCTCAACTATACATTAAAAGAAAAGGCAATATTCAAATGTTCACACCCACTTTCTAGCCTGTGGCTGAAAAGAAACAGTAGGAACAACTTAGTGGATTCTAATACAAAGGCATTTATTGAGAAGCCTACACGTTCAGAATAGTTTCTCCAGTATAATTTGTATTAGTAATGCTATCAGTACAAATATTTCAACATGACTGACAAAAAGTGTCTTAGGATTGCTATTATCAATACCACAGTAATATGTTAACCACTATATAATATGATAAATGATCTGGAGAACAGAGTATGATATCATGGTATTGCCTCCCATGGAATGTACTTCCCTATAATAAATGACTAAAAAAGAAAAACTAAAAACAAAATAGCTGCTGTTAGAATGGATTACAGAGGTTCCTAACACAGAACTCTGCTTCACAGAGACAGGATATTCCTATCAGAATGATATTTTAAAAGATGTAGACCTTTTTCTCATCTCTACATTTAGAAACACTGCACTGGAACGAGAGACACTTTTCTTAACAAATATGCTAAAAGAAATAATATGTAATACATAGTTTAAAAAATTCAGGATACTCTTTCTAAATCCAGAACAGTTTGTAATCCTCTTGGTCTCCTCCTGAGCCTCAGGCACCATGGACCTTTCACATTTTCACTGAGTGAGAGCAGAATTATAACTATGAGAACATGACAACCACTGGAAAGCTCGTTCCTTCAAAATGCTAAGAAATTGTTTCGAGGCAATGCAGATCTGCCAAGGATCTTATCTTTACTTTTAATCCAAAGTCTCAATTTTCAAGAATCCTGCAAGTCTTGACCATGAGCAGGAAACAGCAGCATGGCAGCGTGGGCAATCTGACTTTTTCTACTCAGATTTCTAACCTGTGTTCTGTACGTTCTGTATAAATCCCAGAACTTTCATATTCAAGTTATTTGTGATTTTTATTTTTGATTTTTTTAGCTCACTGAATAATGGAGACTTCACATAGTTGATTTAATGTTTGGGAGCTGCAACTCAATTAAACCACTGAACCTGCAACTGTGTTTGTTTTTCACTTTGAAGCTATCTAAGGATAGAGCTAGCCTCAAGGATATTTTATACAGACATAGCTGCCATATAATCATGACATGTATTATCATATTAGCGAAGGCCTAAAAGTGAAAGGATGTTTTCCTTTCCCTCAAGAAACTACAGATGAAAAAGTAAAAGAAGTGCAATGTTGGAGTTGGATTAATGAACTGCCTGAAATCTCATTTCAGTGCAGACTGCAGTGAAGTTTGGGTAGGGAGAGCAGTCTGAGGAACAGCTAATGTGAACGTGACTAACCAACAGATCAGATTAACTAAAATCAAAACTTGCAATTCAGAAACATTAAAAACAAATAAACAAAGAAAAAAAACTTAAAGGAGTAAAGATAGTTGCATAAATGGAAGAGTAGTCCAACTCTTTCCTAGAAGAAAAAAAAACTAAAGTGGTCATAAACACCTTAGTAACACTTTAACAAGTAGATATGATCTTCCTATCTTGCCTACTTCGTTAACATTTTTCTTTCTTTCCTTGTAATAAAAATATTGTTTGTATGCTATGTAATTAGTTGGGGTTTTTTATAATCCATGTAGAACTCAAGCTGGCGTGATCTTTCATTTCCTTTTCTTTTAAATAATCCCCAAATAACCCCCTTAAATTTAAATCTGACATTTTTTCACAGCCAATCAATTCCTGACAGAAGAGATATATGAATTAGGCAGCCGTGTCCAGCCGTATACAAGAAAGAGTTACTGCTCTGGTTGCCAGGTTTCATCTACTACTTTTTTAATTAGTTTTGTTAGTTTTTCTGTTGAACTGAGTTTTGATAAGAAAGAATTTCCAAAAATATTCAATATTTTCTGCAGGTAGCTTTTAAGTTTATTGGGGTTTTTCACTTGATACATATATGCTTTCCCGATTATCTGTAATTAGCACCCAAACCACATTTCAGCTGAAGTACTCAGTTCCAGAATTTGTTTTCAACTGAAAATTTAAACATGATGTTCAGACATCTCAGATAGAGTAAGCTTAACAAAATATTAACTTTATTGCCAAGCTGGGAGGGAGCGCAGCATTACATCTTCTAAAACTACACAGCCATTTAGATGCCTGTCCTCAGTTTTGAGCAAGCCCATCATTTGTTATGACAGCAGCAGCTCAGTTTAATAGAAGAAATGTCACATAAGACTTCTGTGCTACAACTTCAAGGAAACAAGAAACGCATTTGCTAAGCATGATTTAATATTGACCTGTCAGAAAACAAAGTGGTTTGGTCATTTTATTAAGCTATGATGAAACATCTTAGTTCTGAAAAAAACATATATTTTAAATTAACATGCTGAAATTCTCAGAGATTTTTTAATTAAAACTTCAAAGTTTTCTTCATTGTGATTTGGGATCAAAACAAATATTGTTGCATCAGAATTTTCTGGAAGAAATGTATGTTAATGAAATCCCATTCTTTAGGCAATATATGTTACAAAGTGTCAAAGCAAGGACTACTAGAGAAAAGATTACAAATTTCAGACAAAACACAGTTTTCTAAAGACAATCTTTTTTACTTCTTTGTGGTTATTTAAAAGTCACCAGTCAGAAGATGCAAACTTATGTTCAACGATGGATTAACTCCCATAGTCAAATGGAATGATACATTCTCTTCTAGCATTCAGCCATCAGCCTCCAGAGAGGCTTTTGTTGGTGGTGAGTTTTTTTTTCTTCTGTTGGTATCTCATTAACCAATAAGCCACATCACTGGGGATTTGGTGTACTGAGTTTTTTTACATTTACAATTTGTAAACATTGTAAAAAATGTAAACATTTTACATTTACAATTAATTTTTTTTCCTTTCTGATGTTAAAGATGAAGCATACCAAACAAAACTTGGAATATTTAGGAGATGCTGCCTCCCAGAGAGACAAGATGCCATTAATTAATTGCTGTCAGTAAGTGGCAATGTGAAGAAAAACTATTCTTATATTTAGAAATCAGTTGGAGTATCACCTCTCACAGATGTGCTTTTCAACATATTGAGGCTCTTGAATTTTTTTGCATTGCACATATCCTAATGCATGCTCATGGGCTGTGGTGAGCAGTAGAACAGCATTTGCTGATTCCTCTTCTGAACTGTTTTTAGTCTGAGTAAAGAAGATAGAACTACCTAGCTACCTGTCATCCATCCAAGCTCACCAGTTTACTAAGTGTACTGTGACATCTCTCTCTGTCTCTCACTTCCTCATTTCCACATCCTTATCAAAAGCAAGAAAGCAAGGTAGGACTTCAGGCAACAGTTGACCAGGCTAGCAACATTGAAAATGCCTTACAAGCAAACGATATGATTTTTCTAGCATATTTTATTTTCTTTCTGAGTGAAACACTGATCCTTTCCTCAAGAATACATCAATAAAGCGCGCTGTGTTCACTGTTGCACATAAATTTTATTAGCATGCTTTATACCTCTTTTACAGTATGATAGAAAAGCACTGTGAAAGCAGATTGACTACAGAACTTGATCTTTTTTCTCTCTGGTATTTTCCATTATGTTTAAAAAATAAAACCTCTTATGTATACAAATTCAATTGATGCAACTTTTTCTATCATTGTACTATTTCATTAATTTCATCTAGGATACAAGAAAGTATTATGCAGAAATATTACTGGATGGAATTGGACAACAAAATCATTTTTCATCTACATCAACATGGCATATATATAGATTTATCTTTTTTTTTTTTTTTACTAACTTCCTATAAATTAACTTCATATTATTATACTGAATGCTTTGTATGTTATCTTTGATGAAAGAAACTCAAGGAATAGAATAATACACGTATTCCGGAAAACTTAGAAATTGAAGAATAAAGAAGGATTTTCTTTATAAATACTATACTTAAATATATAAAAAGATACTTAACCGCATAAAGCAATGGAGGTTATTGCCTTAGACATCAGTACTCAAGCACAGAT